GTGCGAGCGAGAGAGAACGCAAGGGGCACGAAACAGAGTATGTCCTTTTCTACGTTGGCATCGGCCCCCACTCCTCAACACTCGGTCTAGATATACTATGTCTATGGGGTAGGCAGTGCGTGTTCCAGGTTCCAGATTCCAGGTTCCAGTTCAATATTTATTGAGGGTTTAGTGGTCTATCTTTATTATGTTTATGGATGTAACGTATCTTTCTGATTTGATGTGAGAACAATTTTTTTGTGAACTTCATCTGGCGAACGGAAATCCAAGAAAAAATAATAAAATAAGACAATTTCTTGAAGTAGTGTATCGAAGAGCTCTTTGAGATATATTTGAGTTACTAAGATTTACGGCTTCTGTTTATTATAAACTACAATGCCGCGAGGTAAATACATCCTTTTGTCATGTTTGTCTTCTTTTCCCGAGAGAATTATCCCCACATTGTTTTCGCGTTATACATAATTAATGATTATCTGCTCTTGTCATGTAGGAAAATTCGTCAATCACAAAGGCAGGAATCGACATTTCACGAATCCGGAGGAGCTGGAGGAGCAGCGCCGTCAGGAAGAAAAAAAGAAACAGTGGAGAGTCAGTATTTTTAGGTTAACCGATAAACATTGCGTGACTTTAAGCATATCGTGACTAATAGGTATTATCTATTGTGTGTAAGATTTAAATGCTATAGAGATCTAGTTTTCTCATAATCGATTTATAAAAAATGAAAGAACATAATATTCGGTAAATATAATATATAGATACGGTTACAATTTTTGTTACATATGGCTAAAAAACAGAGAACGAACTGAAAGTCTTATCTCAAGTTTTATATCATTATTTTATATTGTTCAAAGCCAAGATTAACTTAAGATTTATTTTATAGAAAAATAAAGAACAGGATAGTTCTGATGAAGAAGAAGAAGAAGATGATGAAAAACCCAAAGCAAGTGGCACTAATAAATTAAAGAATCTTAGTGGCTCAGATAGTGAGAGTGAATCAGAATCGGAATCAGAAACAGAGGTATTTAACTTTAAAAAATTTTTCATGTATATATATATTTGTATTTAATAATAAATAAAATTTTTTATGCGGCCTAATCTCATTAATTAATATTCTGTTTGTATAGGGAGGCAAAGCAAAGGGCGTAGAGAATTTAATTGAAGTAGAAAATCCAAACAGAATACAAAAGAAAACTAAGAAATTAGCTCAATTGAATCAATCATTAGATACTTCAAAACCAGAACTATCTCGAAAAGAGCGGTAGGTACGCCATGGCTTTGAACAATCATAATTGTTGAATAATGCTGTTTTCAAGATATTTCTATTTTTTAAGTCATATCTTGTAATATGAGTTATTTTCTCTTTGACACTGAGATAAAATTTTTGATTTTCAGAGAACAATTAGAAAAACAAAGAGCCTATGCAAATTATCAAAAATTGCATGCAGCTGGTAAGACGGAAGAAGCTCGTGCGGACTTAGCACGATTAGCTATAATTAAGCAGCAACGAGAGGAGGCAGCAAAGCGACGAGAGGAAGAAAAAAGGCAAAAGGAAATGGCGCAACAGAAGAAAACTGAGTTGACACAAAAAGCACTCGGGAAGAAATCCTAAAACCTTCCGATAGAGCTAATTGCATGGCTAATTGATTACTGCAATATTAATATCTTCACATCCGATCGTGTAATGATAAAATTTGATGAATCAATACATATGTTTGCTATATGCGTTTTATGATATGTTAATCATTGTTTATATATAAATACAATTGAATTAAATCTAGCCTAGCGTTTATCTTTTATTAATTTAATCAGATTGAAACTATATATGATCTATTGATCTATTGATCTATCTGTGCTACATCCATAATTTGTAATTCGTGCATCAATTTATTATTAGTAATTCACATACCAAATTATATTAGCGAATTAGCGACATCGAAAAGTATATTATATACTATAATCTTGTAGTTTTTTTTTTTTTTTTTTTGCGATTGATTTGATTTTGACATCTTTTATATTGTATTGATGCCACATTCACTGCGCATGCGCGAAAAATCGGCCCGCCTTTCTCACTGACGTGAATTCACACGTTCACAGTCACAGTCCACCGTCACTTCTGTTGTTGACTATTAGGGTTATAAAAAAAAAAACTAAAATATGTTTTAAATATAATTCAATTTGATTATACGTGGCTTATGTTATAGATATAAAACTGAACAAGATGATTTTATTAAGAAGCTTTATAAACTTTATCGTACCTTTTCTAATGTTGGGTAAAAAAACAATTTCGTTATACATATATATATATATAACCGGTTGCAAGCACGCCTTCCAATGAAGTGGACTATTGTCTAGTGTTGTCATGGATCTTTATCATTGCTTGCATGTTGTACTTTACATCGCGCAGCAGATGGTGGCAACAGTTTATCGAGCTCATTCAGAATACTTGGCGTGAGAGTAACGCACAACACGAACATGTCGACTAAATAACATATTTTATTATTAATAATTGAGTTATTTATTCATAAAAGCTTTGTAAATATATGTATATATAATATAAATAATATGTTTATATATATAGATATATAGAAGAAGAAAAGTAAATATATAAGATGTAGAGTTATTTTATATGTATCTGTCACAAATATTTTAAAATATATAATAATTACTCGAAATCAAAATTCGTGCTCATAAATAAGCCAGTCGATTATGAACTACGATAAATTACAAAGAATCAGTTAATGTCAAAGTTTTTATTTGAAGTATTATATGAAGACCCTGGATTAATTGTGACTTAAAATTTTTTTCATATATATACAATTTTGAACTACATTTTTCTTTATTTGAGATTTTAATTTTAAAAATAAATTTTATTTGTATATCATAATTAAAGAAAAAAGACAAATATTTTTTAAATAATTATATATTTTTATTGTGAAAAATTAATCAATTATGTATCTAATAATAAAGAATATTTGCTTTAAATTAGACATGTAATTGATCAATTTCTCTATGCATATTATTTATATTATTTATATTACTTGCGTTTACGCAAGTTTGTCTAGATAGACCTTAACTTGAATTTGGCGGCGACATGTAAACTGAATGGATTGTAATGGCCGATTTCGAGATTCACTTATCAATGTCCCAACTTCATGATTGTTGTGTGCGGCATTTGTTTGCGCTGAAGTTTGTCTCTAATGGATTTGTTATTGCCGTGACTAGGACTAGGCTACCAGTATTGTGGGCCGCTTTAAAAAAAGGCTTTCATTCAGCGAGCGTATAATTTTGCCGAATAAGCGGATGAATGAGATTTTCGCATATAAGTCATCAACACTTCTTCCAACATCTTACGCTAGGTTAGATTATCCAATCGGACCTGTGGTGATCATATAACTTTGAGAAGTTAACAGATTTAATTATGGGTTCGCTGAACCTTATCTGCCCAATGTGTTGCGGTGAAACTTTCAATAACCCTCAGTCTCTTAAGTACCACTTGTTAAGTATTACGGACAATCTCTATTGTCCTGGCTGTTCACAGCGTTCTGACTCTGTGGCAGCGCTCATTCAGCATCTTGACAAATGCGAGCAAAATTTGGAGCGCAAGGTGAGGCTTGACGTTCTGACAGATAAACTCCGGAAAGAGTCTGAAGCCAAAATGGTTGGTAGAGAAAATTAAATAAAAAGTTTAGCATGCAATTCATACAAGTTTTCGAACAATTCTATCATTTTAAAAGTTTGTGATATTTTTTAAGATTATTTGAAATCTAGAACTTTTAAAGATTTTTCAAAACATTTTTTCCAAACAAAAATGTTGAGAAAAGTCATAATTTTCGAATTATAAAGATTTATATAAATGGTTGAATCATAAATAAATGAGGAAAAAAGGCCTTTTCAAACAAAACTACAAGGACATAAATAGATGACAAAATCATTGTTTTTTTAGATAATTTTAATATTTTACTTTAATAAAACTAATTTTTCAAGACTTAGTTATAAGAATGTATGAGAACTGGAGTATTGAAAACTAAATATTTAATGTATCCAATATTTTATTACATATCCAATTACATATATATAATGTAAAATTTTTGTGTATCCAATGTAGTTAAATTGTCCAGAAAATGATTTTAATAGATACTAATAAAATTTCAAAAATATGAGGAGCCAAAATATTCTACTAATTACTGGAAATTTCTTATTTGTGGCAAGAACTATTAACTATATTTAGATGATATTACATATCACATTGTGAACTGATTTACTAATTTTAAATAATATTTGTGAAAAATGGTTTATATATAAAATTCTTTTGTCATATATTGGAAACTATTCCAAATAAAAGATTATTAATTCATCTCTCTCTCTCTCTCTCTCTCTCTTTTGTACCAAGATATCTTGTAAATATAATCATTGATTTCAGGATAAAGTGCAGATTAATGGGAGCTTTCTTGCGACTGTGAGTGACAATGGAATTGTTATAATGGATGATCCACAGACGATACAAATGGATGAGAATGGTTCGTAGAATTACTGCTTTGTTGCATAAGAGTTTTCCAAGAATGAATATTATTTCTAATGAAAACATCAGGAGAAATTAAAGTCGTAGAAAAGATGGACACGGAAGAAATACAACCAGATCAAAATTCTCTGGATTTCAAGATGTCCGAAGGGCTTTCTGGTGTCAGTGGCAGAATGCAAAGAAGACTGCAGCCAATGCAAGAATTAGTGGCTGTTCCTATATCGAATTCCAGTGCAGAGTGCAAAGAAACGGAAAAAAGCGTAATTGCCGTATTACCGGAAAATTCCGAGTTTCTGGATGCCACTACCTTGATCGATGTCGACCGTATAAATGAGGCGGAAGAGATTGACGAAACTGGTCTTTTGCGAGTCAAGCAAGAACTATGTGAGGTAAAGATATTGAAAATCGGATCATATATTTGGGCGACATATATATATATTTTGTACATATTTAACATATATCAAATTATTTGTATTAGTTTGCATTTGCAACTAATAATATTGTTTGTTGTTTCTTTTGCAGGTGGAATCTGATGCTGTATATAGCTGCACTAGCTGTGAAATCAGCTTCAACTCCATTCTGGAACATATCAAGCAGTTTCACGATGGTCAGGAAGTTTTGCTGGAAATGGCAGAGCAGTTAAACGATCTGGCGACGCCTACGAATCAAGTGTCCGCGACGTCTGAAGATTCGGAAAACGTAGTAAAAGGACGACAACGGCAAACAATGAATACGCTGCGTACAGAGGAATGTGTAGACAATGAGGGTAGATTCTACACGAGAAAGGTAGTGCAAATCGAGAGATTCTGGGACCGTACACCGATCCAGATAACATCGCAATCAGCAAAAGCTCCAATGATCGAGAAGTTCTTTTCGAATGTGGAAGGTGTTAAGGTGTGATTTAAAATGCGCTTGATTTTTAACAAAAGAATAATCTTGTGCAACATTTTAAGGATTAACATATAAGGATTATGTGACATTATATTAGAAGAGGATTATATAAGAAATTACATATAAAAATTATATATAACATCTACGATATATAATATCGCAGGTACGAGAGAAGCGCTTGGCGACTGCGTCAATGCGAATGTACAGATGCAATCAATGCTTGCAGCAATTCTCCAAGTTAGGAAACTTTCGTGTGCACGCATGTCTTCGTGGCAACAAACGCTGCGAGCACTGCGATCAAAGCTTTGCGACACCCAAAGCCTTGCAGCTCCATATGAAAGTACATGAAGGCGACATTGATTCAAGCCAAAAGTCATTTATTTGTACCATTTGTGGTACCGAATTCTGCTCCCACAAAAGCTTACGTTTGCATTCGAGAATGCATGCCCCAGTGAGGGCCAGACATGTTGATGCACCCGAGGGAACTCCTAACGCAACTTTCACTTGTCCTGAATGTGGTAATAAATTCTTTTCTTGAATTTACTCTTTGAATTAATTTGACTTAATTTCATTTATATTATAAACAGGCTCGTTAATTTTTTTTATTTACTAAGCCAAAAAAAAAGTCACGTCTTGTTATATATTGCAACTTCTGATTTATAATATATGTCAAGCTGTATTGTTTTATCTTTATAGCATTCTTAAGCATTTATGCTTTACAGGTAAAACTTTATCAGAATCATACAAAGATACGCACATGGCGTTACATACTGGTGATTCAGTGACATGCGCTGTCTGTAATCGGAAATTTGATTCCGCGGACAGTTTAACGATGCATGCAGCGGTGCATACCGAGATAGCACTCTCGCCGTCGCCTACCCCACCTACTTCGATTTCAACTTCGTTGGCTAGAGAGACAGCAGTAACAACGACAACAACGGCGACAACAATTGCGATGACATCAACAACGACGACAACAACGACAGCGACGGTGGAAACTAGTGATAGTCAGAAACCCTATCAGTGCCAGCATTGTGGTCGCAGGTTTACCAGACCTCACGAAAAAGTGAAACACGAACGAATTCACACTGGGGAGAAACCACATGCTTGTGAGGTAGATGCACATAATCGTATAATCGGGTATTGTGCTAAGTATTGCCCAAAGGCACAAATGCATAGTTCGAGATTTTGAGAAATAGAGGGAGATACTTAAAATTGCAAGAATATGCTAATATGTAGTGTAAGAGATTCATCGAAAAAGATTGTTGTACAAAAGTGTTGTTTAAATGCATAGAGGAAAGACGCCAAAATTGAGATATTTTATTTTTGGGTTCCACTTCTTAGCTGAAAATTCAAAATAAAAATTTATAATTACGGATATTTATTAGAGACTATTAGAGACTGTATTTAATAACTAAATATAAACGCCTATTTTCATAGGCAAATTAAGAATGAAAGAAAGAGATAGAAAAAGAGCAAAAGAAAACAGAGGACTTTGTTATAATAAGTTCAATCTACAATTCACGTCTAGTCATTTTAATGTTCTAGTAATGCACATGAGCGACAAAATCACATAAATCAATTTGTGAATTTTTTAAAGTTTTCTTTTCATTAATTGCCGATTGCGTTAAGCGGTAACAAAAAAAAATGATAATATCTGTATCTGTCGATAGGTTTGCGGGAAGACTTTTCGCGTGTCCTATTGCCTGACCCTGCATATGCGTACGCATACCGGTGTGCGGCCTTATGCTTGCCAGCACTGTGGCAAACGTTTCAAGGCGTCTTCCGTCTACAATCATCATCTGCTGACACATGGCGAAGAACGCGCTTACGTGTGTCCATATTGTCCGAAGACGTTCAAAACACGAGTGCAATTGGCTGGTCACAAGAACAGTCACACGAAGCCGTTTCGATGTACCGAATGCTCGCGACCGTTCGCGTCGCTCTATGCCGTTCGCGCGCACATCCAGACACATAAGAAAGATAATAATCTCAAGTTTAGCTGCTATATATGCGGTGCATCATATGGTCGGGCGTTCGCTCTGAAGGATCATCTGAAGCAACACGGCCAGGACGTGCTGGCGCCACCAGAACCTGCACGGGAAGAGGAAGTGCACGAGGACTTTCTCCTCCGGGAGGAGGGGGCCGAGCTCGTGGTCCCGTCGCCTTCGCTTCCTCTCGTCGCACATTCCTCCGACGTGGACGATACCGATTAAAATTAATTATTGCAATTCGAGTCTAGTCGAATCTTAATGCGTGATTATTCGTGAAAATCGCAAGATTCAAAGAGTGATATATAATCACTGTGTTGAACCTTTTGTGGAGATCTGTGAGTCTTTTTCTGTTTTAGTAATTATATGTTTCATAAGTTATTGCATAAACGGATTTTTTACTAAAAGTCGAAAATAATTGAAATCTGGTTATATGTAAGCATTGTTAATTCATTAATAAAGTTTATTCGTTCGTATTTCTCATATATGAAATACATAGTTAATCGTTCTTGATTATAAATTCGTGAATTGGAAGCGTAGGATTTTACTGCCCGAAATGATTGGCGAATGTAAATGTTACATGATTTTATCATTTTAATTACATGTAATTAAAATATAAAGAATTTGCAGGTTTTTAGTCGTTTTCTGAAAATACTTGAATATATTTTCTAGTAATTTTCTGATAATAAATTCACTTCTCTGCATATGACAACATATAATGTGTTGCTTCAATTTTTATATCATTAAACTTTTAGTTTATATATTCTATAATAAAAAAAGAATTTAAAAAGCTTTAGTTAGATCATATACGTATATATATATATATATATATATTGCAGCAGACAAATTCGTTTTAGTTCTATTTTTTAATATTATTTAAAATTTAGAATATAATCGTCTGGTTTCAATGAAACACACTCATTTTTAATGTTATATAATATACATTGTTATTATATGTGGCGTTCGTGTATTTTCACACAGATGAATTAAACTTTTATCTAGGAAATTTTGTTTTAATAAATTTGTGTTAATAAATTTTTGTTTTGCTACATTTAATTATATCTAAAAAACAAGGCAGAAAATAAGTTTATAATTTATCATTTTTTAAATACATAATACGCAAGTATGTATGTATTACATACGTGCATGTGATATTATAGATATTACCCATGGTGCGCACACTCACTCATTCCCTCATTCATTCACTTCCACTCTTTTTTTCCCCTTTATTTATACCATTTTCCTTTCCTTCCTTCTCTCTCATTTTTTCTCTCCCTTGCTCCCTCTAATTATTTTCTCAAAATTTCAAGATTTAATGGAAGAGGATTGTTATAATGCAAACTGTTTTTGTAAAACTTTTATTAATGTCTAACACTGTAATTCTGTTATATGTTAATTAGTAGTAACATGATTACTGATTTAATCTATGAAGAAAGTAGGTCCAGAAGTAACATGTGTAAATATGCATTCTGATTGACCACATTTATATTTCTGATTTTTAATAATTTCATTGTTTTTGTAGCAAAAGGAAGATAAAAGATAAAGTGAGTTTCACGAGTGTTTGTATAACAAACTTTGGCAGTATTTTAATTAATCTATTACAATAATAATTTAGTGTTATATTGCAAAAAAATTGTACTTGATATTTTATTTATCCGCCTTTTAGTATTTTATCATTTGAAAGTCTCATTCAAGAAACTGTAACATAATGAAAATCACGAAAGAATAAGAAGGCAAATTTTAAAAGGTTGCTTTGTCGAACGAATGATGACTGAATAAATCTTCAACAACGCTTTTACGATAAATATGAGTTAATTTATTGTTTGGCCAACGTTTCTGCTTTTGTTGCTACTTCCTCGATCGGGCCGACCATATAAAATGCTACTTCCGGTAGATGATCCAATTCTCCGGCCAATATTTTTTGGAATCCTTTGATGGTTTCCTGCAATGGTACTAATTTACCGGCGTGACCAGTAAATACCTCGGCGACCTAGAATAGTACAATTGATTTTTTAATACAATGTATTAAATAATGTAGTAATATAGATAAATATACTAAATAATGAAATAAAATAAATATGTTCATACAATATTGTTTTCAAAGAGAATTATTAAGATTCTTGGAAAAAGAATGATCAAACACGCATACATACACAATGAAAAATTATTATCTCCAAATTCTAAAATATATATTTTATATAAAAATCTTTCAAATAAAAGTTAGTTTCAAGAGCATCCTGTCAATACAATTTTATTCTAGATTTAAATTGTCTTGGAACGTGCCAAAATCACAAAATATTTTCATCAAAAACAATAAGTTTTATCTCTGAAACATTTTCTATAAAATTCATATTTTAAAATTTATTGAAAATGTGCTTTTTAGTGACTCCTCTATATAGTATACTCTATTTTCACCTGGAATGGCTGGGATAAGAATCTCTGAATTTTGCGTGCACGAGAAACCGTCATCTTGTCTTCTTCCGACAACTCGTCCATACCCAAGATAGCAATGATATCTTGAAGTGATTTATAGTCTTGAAGAATCTTCTGTACACCACGAGCAATGTTATAATGTTCCGCGCCGATAATATTGGGATCCATGATACGGGACGTGGAGTCGAGAGGATCGACGGCCGGGTAAATACCTATATTATCAATAAATCCGTATTTGAAGAATTACAAACATCGTCGTGCAATAGATTTAATTCTCAAAGTGATACATACCCAGTTCAGCAATGGCACGTGACAACACAGTAGTAGCGTCCAAGTGAGCGAAAGTTGTCGCGGGTGCGGGATCTGTCAAATCATCAGCAGGCACGTAAATAGCTTGCACAGAAGTGATGGATCCCTTCTTTGTCGTGGTAATACGTTCCTGCATGGTACCCATATCAGTAGCTAATGTGGGTTGGTAACCTACAGCGGATGGAATACGACCTAGCAAGGCAGACACCTAAAAC